CCCCAAAACCCCAAAACCCCAAAACCCCAAAACCCCAAAACCCCAAAACCCCGGATTTTTAAGTGGGAATTGGAATTTAGTCAGTGGATAATATGGTGTTGCGGTCTTCGATGAGTTGTTTCTTTTGGGCCTTGGCTTTGCTCCTGGATTGGATGATGTATTCTAGGACGAGTTTTTGTTGGGAGATTTTGTCCACTTTTGTGTGGGGGATGTGGTCTTGAGTCACCATTTCCCAGATTTCTTGGGGTTTCTCGCTGAGGCAGGAGGTGTTGGAGGGGTTCTTTTGGAGATGAGTGAAATTTGAAGGGTTTGTACGGGCAGAGGGTCTAGAGAGTTGTTAGAGTTTAGTTTTTAAAGGGATAATTGAGTAGGATGGAAAATAGGAGCATTAATCTCTCAGTAATGTATTTAGATATAATAATGCTTTTAGGTGGTTTTAAAAATATGAATAATGCTATAAATCTCAAAATTGTAGCAATGTTCCACTAAATTCATCAGATCTTCTTAATAAGCTTACCTGTTTGTTAAACTTCCTCTAGTGCCAATATACTCGCCCATATACTTCTCGATTTCATCATCTTTATCGATCGTCTTGAATTTCTGATATTTTTGACTATTTTGGTAACGATTAACAAAGGGTGGCTTACAATTCTCTCAGAGGACTTCCGCTTAATTGATGTCTATTAGATATTAAATCAACTTAAATACCTTGGAGATCCAAGTGTAGCGAGTAATTTTCTCTGTGGCTCTACACATATGAAGCTACTTACTTACTCCGCTCTAGCGACGTGATGCAGCCATTCCTACTTTTAAAATAAGCATCAGATTGCTGATGAGTGTTCAGTCCTGATCTCTCTTTGAGCTGGGGTGCATTCTTCAGCATACTAAGACTGGATGAATTCTCTTGTTTTACTCTATACCCATCTGTTTGAGCAAGATCAAAGTTCTTTTCATACGTCATCATGTAGAAAAGGGTGTCAGTAAAGTTCATGTTTGATGGGATGACCCTGTCTTCCATTAAGAAGCTGATAAACTTCTCTATCTGTTCTTCACTAGGGTTAAACCTAGTATGGAGCAATAGGAAGCCTTTGGTAGTATCCATTTTGTTCATAGGGTTCGTCACCAGTTTAGTCTTCATTATTTGTAGCTCCTTCACTATCTTCATGTACCTATTCTTTTGAGACTGGGAGGCAAACTCAAACCCAGACTTGTAAGCAGTCGGCTTGAATAAACTTCCTGGAAGAATATCTGGTGTCGCTTTGTTCAAAATTGACCTAGCCTTAGTTTCAAGGTAATGCCGATGGGTGAATTCGTCCAATATCTTTGGCGGAGAGCTTATCATGCCTGGTTTTCGACATTTCTTGGATATCTCAGGCCTACATCTGAGCATAATATGTCTTACAAGTTTACTTTGAGAAATAGCTTATTTATATAAAGGCAAAGAACCGGAATACTCATTGTAATCTGAAGTTCTCTGTTTAGACCTTTTAGATTTCTTATGTGGTTTTACTATAAATTAGCATGTCAGAAGTGAAAGCTTCTAAGAGACTCAAAAGCATTGAGTATCAGTCTGGTAATAAGACAATACCTTTGATCTCTGTGAGATTTCTGGGAGATTGAGAATTGGTGACCACCAAATCTTGAGGGTCAGGAAGTCGTTGTTTATTCATCCTATAATGACTTAAAAAGCTTACCTTGGAGAACCTTCAAATACTTCATCCTTCTCGTTGAATATAACCTTCGTGATAGTCTTGACCTCCTCGATGCTTTTCTCTCCTATATAAAGGATAAATCTATTTTATTTTGAAGAAAATTAGGAATAGAAAATATTTGTAAAACTAAGGTGAACTAAGACCTTAAAGAAAATTTAGTGATATCTACTCGAGATCACCGACACTTTTATTAAGAATCAGAACATTTTGGCGTGTAATGAGTCGAGGAGATCTTTAAGGGCTATCTAAAATCGTGCAGAACGTTTAAATAGGAGCCCAAATATATTAATTCCAAGTCAAAATGCCATTATTCTATCGTCTGCTCTACAAAAGAACTTTGAGTTTTAAAAACTTCTCTCAGCTAAGCTATTTCTAAAATTTCAAAGCCCTGGAAAGATGTGAGTAATCATAGGGTTTTATGTTATTCATTCATATTGGATAACACTAGTCTCATAAGGCCTCAAAGCACACTAAGATCCTAGGCTGCATCGAGTAAAGCTTAAGATCTGCTGATAGATAATGAAGCGTACCTTCTCCTGACTCGCTCATGAATAAGTCTTTGTTAGGTTTCTTGATCACCTCCATAATTCTTATAATCCAATTTTATTTTTATAAGATTCAGCTAGGCTGCAGGGAAAGGGGTTTTGGGGTTTTGGGGTTTTGGGGTTTTGGGG